CCACCAGGCAAGTCCTTTCTATATGGTTGAGGTAGATGAGGTCTCTGAGTATGAGGCCTATGAGTGTATGTAACAACATTGCACATTTTATTTTCCATTTTCTTTTTAAATGTTATAGTTTGGGTTGTGAATTACGTATTTTTGATTTCCAAAGTATAATAGTAGTGGTAAAAATTTTTTCATTATGACAAAGTCAGAGTTAAAATACTTTAACAGTTTCACAAAATAACAGTTTTCCCCCAGTGATCTGTTTACCTATGTACTCTTATTTGGCTGTCCCTTTATTTAATGCCATTTCAGCGAATTAAAGGGGACTCTAGTGTAATTCTACTCATTCACTATTATGTATCTCAAAACAGTGATAAGTATGAAACTTTTGAGTATGAGAACCCAGTAGAAACAGCATTTGTAATTGAAAATTATTAGATGTGGGAGTCACTTACACTAAAACCTCCTATGTAGATGCTTCTCAGAATTGGCCAAACTTTTTTTAAATGGCAGATAATTAAAGTACGTGTTTTTATAGCCTCTATCAGCTATATTCTAATGTTCAAGAATAGTAAGGAGAGGGGAAACTTTAATTCATGAACATGTTTACTCATGAAGCAACCTTTTTGCATAAATATATATGTGGAACTTTTAATCCTGAAGGATATTCAAAATTTATTTATGTAATACTGATCATAAAAGTTTTTTCTAGTAACTATTACTATTCTCTACGTGAGTTCACAGGTCTTAGTCTTCTAAATATATAAAAGTACCAATGAGTTAACTTTTATGCATCATTAATGTTGTAAAATTAGACTTCTTTGTTTTAAACTATAAACCATAGCTGTATTAAACATCGTTATTTTGTTCACTGAAATTATTGAGATACTAATGCTATAGTTATTTTTGTTTATTGAATAGCAAAGAACAAATTGAGCAATTGAAATTTTATTTCATATTATTTTTCATTTTTCAATTTACATTTCCCCTTTTCATTGCTAATAATTTTCTCTAACAGTTTTTTTATTAAACTTTACTGCTTGTCAATATATAATAATATGTGTAAATTCCAAGGATATTCCTGAATTTTATAGTCTTAATTTCAAGAACCATGCTTGAAAAATAATTCTTGATGTTATTTATAGTAAAGTTTCATTTTACTGACACAAGTTCTCATCTTCATAGAAATTGCCCTATTTATGGAGTATCTTTCTGTTACCAAATTGTGGACGAAATTCCAGATAATTAAGAGTAAATATCTAACTTCAAAGATTTGATAACTAATGTATCATGAATATTATTATGAATGAGTGTATTAATAGTTATATGAACTTTATGTATTACATATACAATTATATACATATGTACATATATTTATATTCCTTTATTCAAATATACGTTGTAATTTAGAGTATACTTAAGTTTATCAAACACTTGAATTTAATCATTCATAAGTTTAAATGTTAGGTGCTCTGCAATATTTAGAAAAAAATGTAGTGAAAATAAGTTGTGGGAGAATTTCTTTTATATATTTTGAATAGGGAAAATTTTTTTATTAAAGTTAAATTTTTATTTTAGGTAAGAATTTCAACCATATCTTAGTGAGATATGGTTGAAATTAATTGGGATGAGTTTTTGTTTGTATATAAGCCAATGTATATATGTAAATTTTAGTCTATGTTATGTATATGTTAAAATATGTTACATTTTACTTGATTTGCTGTATCAACTCAGCAATACTGCACACATTCATTTCATTCATATATGATAAACATAATTCTTTAAGAGTATGGTATTAGAGAAAATATTACAGTAGTTTGCCATTTATTCCATAGTTCAGTTCTAGGAAATGTATACATTTTTTTGAATTTCGTCAAGTCTTTTCTTTGCAGATAAACTTCTAACTATAATTGTAATGGCTGATGATTTTAAAGTTACATTTTTGCTCATGTTTTACATGATGTTTTAATGTTCTTATTTTAAATTTCTCACTAGAGAAAAGATGATAATTTAATATAACATCAAGTCATATTCCTCATAATTCTGTGCTATTTTGAAATTTAAGATACTCAAAGTGTCAGACTCGAAAACAACTCTTATAGGTATTCCTCTCTTCAGTTCCTGTAATGATATTCTGGTAGACATTCACTCATCAATTGTAGCTTCTCAGATGTTGCCTAGTTAAACTATATAAATGATAGCATGCCTGTGAAGTCTATCATCTTTAGTATATTACATCACTTAAATATGTGAGCTAATTTGCACACAGGTTGGTATATAAAGTCATATAATTCATTTTCCTTTAATTTTTCTTTTAAATGACAATTACTATTACATAGAGTATCCTGTAGAGTTTTCCAAATCTTCCTTTTCAGAAAAAAAAAAAATTCATGGAAGAATTTCCTGGAGTATGAAAAACCCTGTTAAAATAAGATACAGAATATAGAAACCATAACTGAAAACATACAGAATTCAAAATGTAAAATTAGTATATATCCCCCAAATCCCAAGCCCTTCAGAAAATAGAAATTTAAAAATTAAGCACTGAAACATGCCTAAATGTACTCACAATGAAATTTCAGATTAAAAACTACAGTAAAATACTTTCACTTGTCAGATTATGTGGTTTTATACAATAATGTCTGTAAGTATAGTAAAGAAGTCTTAAATTTAATATTAAATTTGGACTGATAGACCCTGAAAGAATAAATGGTAATATATTTGTAAGCTGAATTCTATGCAGATATTAAAATTGACACTGTAGGTTTCTTTGTATGAATAAGGAAAATATCGAATAAAGTTAAATGAAAGTTATCAGGTGAATTATATAGTCATATTTTTAAAAGGCAGACTATGCGCATGCACACACACACACACACACACACACACACACGCTTTTGAATTAGGAAATGAGAATAGTGATTGATTTTTTTTTCTTTCTTTTTTTTTTTTTTTTTTTTTCGTGGGATGCTAGGGCAGCGGCGGGGGAACGAACCGGCGCTGCAGAGGCTACGGGCAGCCTCGCAGCCCAGCGCTCAACCACTGCACCACCAGGGGAGGCCCGAGAATAGTGGTTGATTTTGAGACTGGAACCGAGGGATGGTAAACCTTGGGTAGAAAAGAGCTTGTCATTTTTAATTCTTTGATTAATTTTTCTTTGCTATCTTCATGGGTTCTTTAAAACTGTAAAATATGTTTAAGGAAAGAAAATTCTTAATCAGTTTAATAAGACATCTCAGTCAATACTGAACACTTACGTGCCACAAATTTCTTGAGTGTGTTGGGGATATTAGGGTGGATAAAATGTTTTCCCTACTCTTCTCAAGAAATAATAAATCAGTACTGATTTGTAAATAAAGAAAAACTCAATGTGGTGGGTTATCTATTAGAGATGGGACCAGGAAAGATATATATTCCTCTGTAGAGCTCAGAGGGGTTTATATACTATAAGTTAATTGAGCTTACATACGGTAAGTTAATTGATCAATCTTATGGAACAAATAAAAGCACTGTATGTCTAGACAGAGACATTATGTTTACTCATTGATTGCATCAGTCCTATGAAGTGGGCACCATTATCATTCTCATTTTATAGAGGACTAGAGAAATTAAAGTAACTTGCAGGTGATGCTGCTTTATTTATAGTGAGTGCCAGAGCTAGTGTTCAAATCCAGGCATTATGGTTACAGGATCCCTATTCTTAATAGCTAAATTATTTTGCTGAAACTTTATTCTATAATTTGAATTCATTTCCATTTTGCAGTTGAAAGACATATAGTGGGTTAAGCAGATAGTTCGAGGTTATACTGTTGATAAATGTCAAAGCCAGTACAGCAGTCATGGTCTCCTGACCGAATCCAGTGATCACATTGCTCTACCCTGCCTTCCATTCATATGGGGAGTTTCAAAAACAAGTGTATGGAGAAGAGTCATTTTGATAGCACTATCTGTCATAAGTACTGACAACAAGCATAGATGTGTGGTTTCTCTAAGAAAATAATTGCAATAAAAGGAATTTTGCAAGATCACTGAATAAAAAAACTGATGTTAATTTAATGCTCCTGCTTTGTGAAAAAACTGTCAGCAATCCAGAATGAGGGCTGTGTTAACAAAATTCCAACTTTTCTGTGGGATGATCTACAAACTACAAACAGAAGGCATTAAGTTTCTTAACAGTTACAAGTGTGTGCATGCATGTTAGGCCACTCCTGTCATTCACTGCTTTTTGGTGTACATAGATTAAAGCTGGACTGCTTTGATTTTCAGACTAAGATGTTCTATAGGGAATTTGGTTCATATTAAAAGATAGCAGAATAGCTTAACAACTTGTAAGTTCTTTGCTTTCTGCCCTAGCGTCATACAGCTAAACATATATGTGTTCAGTTCATATATAAACACATATGTGTTCAGTTTGACTTTAAGATATTTTCTTGACAGTGTGCCTCCTCACTGAGATCCCAAGTTATTTCCTTGCTCTGTTCAGAAGCAGGTTTATATAGGTTTTCTGAAATGATACGGAATAGGAAATCTGTCTCTGTCTGTCTGTCTGTCTATCCAGCTATCTTTATACCTACCTACCTACCTACCTGCCTGCCTACCTATCTGATAAAATATGAGAGGGCATGGCTCAGTGAGTTTAAGCAGTATACTAATCTTCTCTTTTCCATAATCCTATCTCATTCTAAGTAGACTTAGTGACAAATTCAAAAGCCAATACCAGAATTATTTAAAGACTTACTTTAAAAGTATGTAACTGAGCTAGAGTAATAAAATGTGCAGATTATAGTGTCATTATGTTTACCTAGAGCTTTCCTGAGCCATCTTAACTTTCATGCTAAAGCTTCATTAGAATATCAGTTAGCACAGCATATAGTAACATTGCATTTGGTGAGGGACCATATTCTACTTAATATATTATTTCCAACCATGTTAACAGGATGGCAGTGAGTGGGAAAAAGATGTAGGTGACAACCTGTAACATGCATTAAATTTTCTTCTCTTTTTAATTACAGCAAATTCAGTAAAGCTAGAAATGCAGAGTGATGAAGAGTGTGACAGGAAACCCCTGAGCCGTGAAGATGAAATCAGGGGCCATGATGAGGGTAGCAGCCTAGAAGAACCCCTAATTGAGAGCAGCGAGGTGGCCGACAACAGGAAAGTCCAGGAGCTTCAAGGCGAGGGAGGAATCCGGCTTCCGAATGGTAAACTGAAATGTGACGTCTGTGGCATGGTTTGCATTGGGCCCAATGTGCTTATGGTACATAAAAGGAGTCACACTGGTAAGCAGCTGAAAGAATAACCTGATGACTGCCTGTGACATCTGATGTTGATATTACCTGACATCTATTCTCTTTCCTTTTTATTCAGGGGTGGCAATGGTGAAACTACCTTTTCAGAATTCTGCTAGTATTGGATTGCTAAAAAGCAGAGAGTAGCCTGGGTCTTGACTTCCAGCCTTCAAATCTGAATAGCTTATCAGAAAAGAAGTTTGAGATTCAGTTTCCACAGTTCTTAATATAGCAATAATATGATAAGGGTTCAAAGGTATAGGAGAATTTCATTGTGTAACTTAATCTTTTTGTATTTCTATACATATTTTACCATACCCGTGGGCAGGTAATATAGTTTGCTAGCTAAGAGTTTATATTATAAAATGGTACTCATGCATTTATATAGGTATGGACCATTTTCAACTTATCTAGTTTACTTTTTGGAATAGAATTTCCAATCAATTTTTGCCTACTATGAGTCTCTGTAGTAGGCAGACACTTTCCCCAGTTCAAGGATGCAACCATTTTCCTATAATATTTTATTATAACTTGTACAAGGAGATTTGTAACTGGGAATATGTAAGCAGAGACTAGGGTGGAGAAAGAGACCTCAAATTGATTTAATATGTACTTTTAGATATTTGAGTGTTAGAACAAAACAGCCAAATGAGGAAAAGACTTATTCAAATCTCTTCAAATCCTTTGCTAATATTAAAGAAAAAAAAAAACAAAACCAGAAATGAGATTGTGGTAAGATAGGCAGATCATTCACTCTTTAAAAAGTTTCAAAATCATATGAAAATTGATTTAAAGATAATGATAGATTTAACTGTAATACAAAGTATAATGTATAGCAAAATACTAATAGTATATCTGTTTTAAAATATAATGCTTATTGGGAAGGGAGATAAATCACAATAATGAATTTGTTTAAAAGATTGACTTCTAAATAATCAATTTAATAAGTAGGTCTTAAAACATTAGAGATGCAAGGTACATTGAAGTCTCTTTAGTCCAGACTTCTCATTTATACATGAAGAATCTGAAGCCCAAATAGTCAAGTGATTTGTTCATTATTCCCTATGTAGTTAATTATGGGCATTGTGAGGCTAGAACCAACATTTGCTGATGTCCAGACTTTTTTGTTCAAATATACTGTGTTTGATAGATCAATATACCAATTATTTATGATAATATATGAATATAGCTGATACTTTAAAAATTACAGTGAGAAGTAACACATTGAAATCAGTGTTCTCTTAGTCAAAATCATTAGCTTTAAAGAATGCCCTCCATTTAGTTTAGTTTTGCTTTTTTCTTTGTATTGAATTTCCTTTTAACTAGTATCATGTTTTTAATGTGTTTATTTTCACTACCATGATATTTTTAACATTAATCTTGGATACTATCTCATGGAAAAATTAAAATATCAAGCTTTTGTCATATTTGATAAGAAAAAAAGGAAAAGACTATAAAATGAGTCTACTTTTCTCCTATACTTATAAATTCTAACTGCCATTATAAAACAGGAGTCCCATAAAGTTATATTTATTATCCTAGTGTTATTTTATTGAGGAAGATAACACTCATTCAAATGTGTAACTTCTCCCACCTAGCAGCATACAATCTAAACAAAATTAGTCTAATGACTTTCAATTGAGTTGCATAGAATGTTCACTTTAAGGCTGAAAAAATATACTAAAAACAATTTTTGTAAGATTTTTAATAAACCTTTTGTATTTTGAGTTAAATATCATTCAAAGAACCTGAGTATGCTCTCTTGAAAGTTTAAGTTAATCAATTTTCAGTTTTCTACAGTGATTTTTGTGAGGATTGTGGGTTTGTAAGTAGAATAATTATATACCAACTCTACTGTTCATTTGATATTTACTACTATAGTAGAGTTTGAATATTTTGATTCTAAAAATCATTGATTTGTAAGTTTTCTAAGTATACAGATTTCAACAAGCCCTATGAATGTGGGCTTTTACTCACGTAGTAAAGCCAAGGAGAATGAACTAAACAACTACTTTTAAAGTATTCTTAGAAATCTATAAACTTTTCTTATTCTAAATGTTCTATGGGGTATTATAAAAATTACTACATTTTATTCAGATATGGAAGATTTTTGTCAATATTAATAGAAATTCATAGAAGAGCTTGGGGTATCTAGCATATATTGTTGACCTTTTACTTTTGATATATCTTTAAATTAGCTATTTTAATGTATCTTTCTGATGACCCAGTTATACATCTAAGTGGGTCATGATATATTCAACTCTGTTTTAGTACTATTTGAGAATAGAAAGTCTGTATTTGTATTTCTTTAATCTAGATTGAAAAAAAAGGGAGTCAGAATCTAATCATTAAACAAACGTTTTCTACTAAATGCCATGAACTAATGTCATCATTTTAGAACTTCCCTTTGCACTCGTTATTTATAGCTAATACAAAAGGCACTGTCTTGAATCTTTATAAAGCCTCTGGGAAATATATGTTTGTGCCTTTTTAGTTCATAGAATATGTAATAAAAATTACTAGTTAAAGAGGTACACAACCAACCAATTCATTAAAATGACATGGAGTATCAGATCTAATTCACTTCTTTTTCTTTCTCTTTCATATCCTATTAAAGTACCAATTCCAGAGTCTTATTTGTGACTTGTTATTTTGTTGGTATTGCTACTTTAGTAGGTAATCAGGTAATATTGTCATCGGATACTCCAGGCACTCTTCACTGGGAATATAGGGAGAAGATATAGGGGTAATAAATTAATTTGTGCACTAACAGAAATTGATACAAACATAAATATATGATATCCTTTATTTTGCCCTTTATGTAGAATATCATCTTAAGTTTCTGGCCCCATATTTTACAGCTTTGTGGAGTCATTCTCTTGCTGGTTTCCTGTCTCCAGGTGCTTGGGATTTTTCATATTCCCAGGTGGTTGCTCCATCCAACATAGGAAACCCTTTCTCTGATTCACCAAAAAGCAAATTGGCATCTATCTACTTGACATTTCATATGAATATTTAAACATGGATCTAGGTGTTTGTGTTTATGAAAGTACATAAATGGTTGAATTACAATTTATTACAGAATAAGAACAATAACTTTATCCAGTGAATAATTCAAAATGGCCCTCAAGAACTTTAGTAGATTGGTTTAAAAAAAAACAAGACTGGAAATGAAGGCAACAAAACTACATCTTAATTGTTCTCCTCAATCCAGACCTTTGTGCCCACCAATGGGAGATTAATTTTTACAGATACAGTAGCTTACATGATTTTTTAAAACTGGACCGCTCTGTAATGTTACCAATGTATTTAGTAGATTTGTGGGGTTTTCCTGAAATTTGTTTTTAATTAAATCTGAAAAGTACAGGATTGATATTATTTTAGACAAGGTTTATACTGAATCAAAAAAGACCAAATGATTCGATCTATTTATTTAAAAAATGTTTTAAAAATAATTGAGTTGTGTTGTTTCAAGATACATAGACAATATGGGTAATTCACTAAACCCTTCATCTCTGTCAGATAATTTTATACATATATCTATAAAGGCTTGGTCAGGAAAATCCTACAACATTTGAAAAAAAAAATGACAAATTTAGCAACAAAACTACATTTGACAGGGAGGTTTTTTAGAAAAAGTCAGTCCGCTTATTTTTGATCTGTTCTTCAACAGATTTGCATGTGACTCCTCTATTTGGATGATTCCTGCAATATAGCGATGTATGCGTTTGAAAAAAGTTTAATAAGCTAAATGCTTTTTCATTTTTATCTCCCAAACCATAGTGTTATTGAGGATTTCCACTGTAATTTCAACTAAATTTAGTGCCAACACAGAAAAACCCAGAGTTGTTCAAATAATTTTCATTTTATATAAATGAGACATTAAGAAGACTTTAGCATATTTTGACTCAAAATATGTAAAGCCATGAAATTAGTATCCAAAGTAAAATCAGTTCGAGATAAGAGTTCAAGACTCTTGTTGGGCAGCTCAGTATTTCTCAAAATTTCATCTAATTGAAATCAAAATGCATTACTATCAGTGCCCAATTCCTCTTATCCAAACTGAGAACAGGAATTCTCAACTTCATCATGCCTCTTTCTTTAGTTCCCAGGAGCCTGGAAACACAATTAGCAAATATCTCCACACTATGACTTTCACATACAGCAGTACTTTTCTCTGCACTCTGACCTCTTTTCATTTCTTCTTCCTCTTTAAGGGTGATCATATGGATTCAGAAGTAATTCTTGAAGGTGTCTTGAATACTTTGTAAATGTAAAATCTAAATTACCCTGCCAGTCTCATAAAACTTAGTTTTATCAATTTTTAAAATACTTCTTCCCAAAGATTGTATCTGAGTTAGCATGATACGCTGATATTTTCCAAAGGCAGAATGTTTTCAGATGTTTTTGTTTACCACAATAGTGTAATTAACTTTAAAATTACTGCATTTAATTGGTTATTTCCTGGGAAACCCTAGGTAGATTTCAGAAATAAAGTAAAATATCCACAGTGAAAGGTGTGATTTACATTTGCTACTTTTCAAGTTTCTAAAAAGTTAGTTTCATACAGAAGTGCCTTCCTCCATTTAACTACTGATTCTACCACAGGGATGGAGTGAAGAAAATGGGTTTTAAAGAAGTTGTAGACTGTTACTCTATTGGAAAAAAAAAGTTAAATTAAGATGTGTGTGTGTAAAATTAGAAAGATTTATGACAGATTTATAAGACTTATATACCAAAGATTTATAAGACTTCATATGAGAGGTTTTAGGTAAAGTCGTTTTCTTTCAAATTGCATTTTATTTTACATTTCTTTGAATTTTAATTAGTGTTGATGTAATTTGACAGTTTTGCCAAGTGAATCATATAGGTTAAATAAGATAAAATATAACTTTAGCATGATGGATAATATTTTTGAGCTAATAACCTCAGTATAAGGCTTTTTATAAAGTTGGTTCATGAGATCTCCAGACTCTTTAAGAAAAAACCGTAACTCTGGAGACACACACACACACACACACACACACGGATTACACTTTTATTTTGGTATGTATCTCATTAAGTTTCAAAATAAGCACATATTATGGAATTCATGATATACCTGATCTATTAATTACTTCTTTTCATTAGGTTTTATAACAAATCTTTTGATAGAATGTGCAGTGGCAGCTGCCAAAATACAAGCACAGTCTATCTTCTTTATGCCTCATACCTTTCATTAATAAGAGTCATTGTTTGCATCATGTTAAAGACCAAAAATATACAGTAAGGTTTCATCATTTACTATAATTGTGAATGTTTTAGTTAAAGATGTAAAACATGACAATTTAGTGTAAAATTTAAAAAAAAATTAAAATTATAATAATCATCCAACTTCAAGTAAAAAATGGTTCACTTCAACCAAAACAGATTTTTTAATTTTATTTTCATTCTAAACTTTAAGCTTTAAAATACACATTTGTACCATTTATGTTAATTTTTAATTTATTTCATGCTATATTTAGAGGTAGACAAGCAATGTATTTTTTCATGATTTCATAATGTTATCAGTTTGACCCTAATTGCTAATTTTACTGCTTCATTAACTATGTTTTTAGGTGTTATGACATTGGTGACAGCCAGATGATGGCAACAGATTGAACTCAAAATTCTGGCTTAAAAACTGTATAGCAATGTCAGTAAAAGAAAAAAAGATACCATTTTTTGCAACCAAACAAATATACAGGAAATATCTAGATGAATGGTTATCTTTGGAATTTCCCTAATATATAATAACATTTTGCTAAAGGTTTCACTGCCAGTAACTCAGAGAATTGAGAGACCTGGACTAATATGGAGATTTTTTGGAAATGAGATTTGTACCCAGGTCACTCATTGATTCTCTTTGTCGCCCTGATAAGGAAGTCATCAAACTAAATGAGAGAATTAGACTAATGGTCCTTTTCAACTCTAAATTTCTGTGATTTTTAAAGAGATAACGTGACACAATAAAGTGATAAAGATTTTACAATTACTCTGATCAAGATTTAAATTATTAGCTTGTATATTTAATAGCTTTGACTACAGTAAGATACTTTCATACTTGAACTTCAGTTTCTTCATTTGTAAACTGAAATTATTCAGACCAAATTAGCAATGTCGTTATAAAGAATGAAGTACTGTATTAAAGGAATTAGTAAAGTCAGCCACATGATGACCACTAGTTAGTCTCCAAACAGTGGCCAGTGATATTACTGTTACTCTTTTGAATCAATGGCAAGAATCCTGTAGAATTTATGTGAGGGCACTTGATCTAAGACTTAAGAATTTGGCATTAGGAAGGCAAACCTACGAAGAGAAAGGTTTAAATGAAATGAACATTCTCAACACAGAGAACTGGCTCTATGTAACAGTATAGGACACATTAATTTCTTGTGCATACCCCACTTGATATTTCTCACATCTTTTCCTTTCCAAAGGTGAACGTCCCTTCCACTGTAACCAGTGTGGAGCTTCTTTTACTCAGAAGGGCAACCTTCTGAGACATATAAAGTTACACTCTGGAGAGAAGCCGTTCAAATGTCCTTTCTGTAGCTATGCCTGTAGAAGAAGGGACGCCCTCACAGGACACCTCAGGACCCACTCTGGTAAGTGTCACCAACTGTTTGAGAAGAAAACTAACGTGATAATTCAAGAGAATGCTATAGAGTAATTTGAGCAACTTACACCTTCAGTAAATTGCTAGGAATGAGCTAGACAATATTTTGTGTCCATTGAATGACTGATAAATCTTGCAGGATACATACGACCCTTCTGTTTTAGACTTCTGGAGTTGGTGAAAAGGAACACTGTCAGCTGAAGAATCTCTTATTCTAAGCCACTGAAGAAAGGAAACAGCTGTTATATAAATGCTCTGATTTTTAATAATTTTATAATAATTAACAGCAATTACATATAATCTCGGATAATTAAAAACCTAGTAAAATGCCAGTTACATGCTACTGTTATCACAGAAGAGACAAAAGCTGTCATAGTTTTTGACTATATAGTGTCCAGTCTGGGCCTTCAGTGGGAATTGCTGTTTCTAAAGTAGAAAACATTTTACTTATTAGAAAACATGACTGTTAGCATATTTTATATCCATCTTGTTTATTAAGTTTGATTTTTACTTAAAAATGCCAGGATATAGTACACAAAAGAGAATGAATGATTAGAATATCCAAATGAATCTCAGTTGACTCTTAGCATGAATTCCCATAACCAAAAAGTTAAAAATGGAAAATTAATATAGAATACTCTTAAGCCAGTTGTATATGCTCCTGTCCATAATGACATATTCAAATTTAGTTTTAATATGAAGATTGGATGGAAGTGATGTTTTCATCCACATTGACAAATTGTACTAGAGAATGCTGTGGATGGTGAGGTAATGTTTGTATTATCTTTCTTCACATTTTTCCTGTAGTCCTCGGGCTCTACGGTATTTTTAAATATGAATGTGAGATATGTACAACTATTTTGGACAATTCACTTTTATGTTTGGGGCAGTTATAGAAAAAATGTAATTAATGCAAACTTTAAAACAAAATATTTATACATATATTTTACTGTCTTTACTAGCTCGTGGTGATTTATTTCCACCATAATGCATCATATTTTTTCATTCTGCTGTGAAAATTATATCTTAAAGTGGTAATGTTTCATTATTAAAAACATTATTTCTTGAACAATATTGCTAAGATATGACAGGTATTTCCTTTAGCTAGCCATGTACTCTGTTGAAGTATTATTGAGTTGAATAGAGATTATATAAGCCATAGTTTTTATGAACATATCTATTGTTTGATCTTGAATAAGCAAAAATACAACTTTAAACATCTTCTCTTTCATTCTTTACCAATTGGTGTAGTACACATACGTTACTTTCCGTGGCAAAGCATATATCGCTTTTAGAAGGTTCAGAACCTGATGACACTTCTGGAAACATTTGACAGTCATCTGGATATCTGTTCCCTTGATTTCCTTTTTGTTCTTCTAATACATCCCTTACTGTGGGTGGTGTCTAAGAAGCAAGGATAACTTGGTTTTTGTGTTAGATTGAGCCTGGCAGCTGCAATCAGCTTCTTTATGCAAATTAGGCATGGACTCTGGATGCTACAGAATGGAATTTAAAATATTAGCCATTATCAATACTTTTCATAATAGAAAATAAAGCATAGTTTCTTAAAGCCCAAGCTTCTGTAATTGGTCAAAAACTCAAGTTGATCATTGTAATTTTTTTCCTCCGCTACAAATGCTGTTTTTCTCCTTACTCTTACACTCTTTTTGGCACCTGGTCTGGGCAACATTCTGTATGTTATGTGTGACTCAAAAGTTCATGTAAATTCTGAGAAGTCCTGCCTTCCATGATTGTTCCAGATTTTCAACAACCAGGATTTGAAGTGACATAGTTATCCCTACTAACTCATATAGCACCAATTCAAATCAAGGCTTGGTAATCTGAAAAACTAACCAGTCAGTAGCTCACTTCTCTCTCTATTAGTTCAGCAGCTTAGCATGCAACACATAGCCAGAGAGTGGGGTCAGCTTCCAAAACAGTAGCACCAGAACTCTCTTCCCTGGTGGAAATATTCTTCTCTTGGGCACTGAGATCTACAAAACTATCAATATCTAGATTTCAGGACAGAAAATACAAATTCTTTAAATGCATTATTTGATGTATTTGTATTGTAGGCATTCCTGCCTTAACCTCTTTGTTCTTAGACTCATGCATCCTGGCCATGGAGCAAATGACTTAAATGACTCAAATGACTCAAATCCTGGTTCTGTATCCTGACTACATATATTGATTCTTATGGCATAAATTTCTGCCTCCTTCAAGTTGAAAGGACTCCAGTGTAACCTGCCTGCCACGAGTTGACTGGTTGATCCCCACATTGCTATATTAGGGAATTAGCATTGAAAAGCTGTGAACTTAGCAGTGGTGGTATTTTAATCAATTATAGAGAGGGCAGAGTCCATGTTTTTGAATCCATAGCTTCATTTCTAATTTCATTGTCACTTTGTACATGGACTCTCACCTTAAGCAAGCACCAGGGTCTCTAGGTAAAGAATCTAACTGACATCCATGAAGTAGATTATCATCAATTTATCTTGCTAAGACTACTAAGAGCCTTCTTCATAGTGGTTGCTTTCTAGACCATATTGTCATATTTGTACCAGTTCTGAGAGGTAGCCATATAACTCTTTTCCAGACCATCTGTCACCAATCTTCTAGTCTTCTTCTTTCAAGCCCTTGACATGTGGCCATACCATTACCTCAGCTATCTCCCCTCCATGCAGAGTGCATAATCTGAAAATCTGTTGGGGAATATCCTTTCACTACTGTATGTCAGCTTCCCTTGGTAGGCCTGTAACACAGCAGCCACAGCTAGTACCAAATACCATGCAATCCACTTACAAATCAGGTGCACATAGTTTCATTATTAACCGGTCATGGACAGCTCACCATGAGGTCATAAGAATGGACTGCAATAAGAGACTGTGAGAGGTGGTAGCAGTCGATAGGGACAGTCGAGCTACATGAAGTATACTTGGGCTTCCCAAACCTACATGGCTTCCCAAACCTTCCAGTTTCATTTAACAATGAAATGGTCTTACCCAAGTCTTAGTTTTATGGTAAGTTGAATCAGGCATCACCTGTTTCCTTTCATGTACTTTGGGCTACACAGTCATTTGGAGTTACATGACCCAATACTCAGTCTTCACCAGAATCCAGTAGCAAATTAGGAGCTGTTTTTCAAATGAAGAATAGCTGTTGGTAGAAATTAACTGTCTTTACTCCAGAATCATCAGGATCTGTACACTGATGGTTCTACTAACACAGAGAGATGTCACACAGCTGCTCTGTCTACCACAGACATTTCCCCAAATCTCTGCTTCTCTGGATCTTACAGCTAAAGGTATATGGCAGCTTTCATAAAAGCAGAGCATGCTCAGTCATGCCCCAGTCTGCTGTCAACACCGAGAGTCTTGTGGGTTACCTACCACATGCATGAGAGCAGCATACCCAGATGTGGTATATGTTGCTTTCAAAATCCAAGGAGGGCACCACATGCCTCCTCTTTTTATTATTATGAAAGGTACAAGTTTCAGGAATTTATCATTTACTTGAAAGGTTCTATGGCAACATGATGAGATTACTGGGCTCAAACATTTCACTAATGCTGCATGTCTCCCAACTCTTTGTGGAGATTATCTCTTACCTAGTCTATATCTTACTGTGCCATCTTAGGTGTTCACTATTTCCTTTCCACCATGTCCAGTCAGTACTACCATGAATGTCATGTCCTAGCTTGATATTTTGTGAGATATCAAGATAAACAGATTTTTTGCCACTACATAATGACAAAAAGAGGAGAGTTGACCTAGCTGTAATGTAAGATAGTGAAAGTATGCTGATAGTGAAAGTATTCTCACTGCAATGAGAATACAAACTGCTTTTATTTGTAGATTTTTTAAAAAGAAATTAAGTCAGTAGTTCCATGCCTGCTGTCAAGGGTCATATTAATATGCTCTAGTAAAGATTCAGTTAATCCTCACTCAAAGTCGCCTAAGGGTTTTGAAAACTCCAACTTTAAGCAAAACAATGTATAATACAACCAAGTTTTAACATAGGGCAAATGATACAAACAAGAGTTAAACTGTGGCATATTTCTCATCACAAAAACATCAAGAAAATTCTAAATCAAGACCCAGATGCTTCTAATATTAAACAATCATTTATATTCATTCATTCATTCATTCATTTTCTAAGCTGATTCTAGCTCAAAGTCGCAGATGGCCTGAGGATAGCCTGGCAGCTCAGGGCACAAGGTGGGACTCAACCCTGCACAGGATACCCTTCTACTTCAGAAAACTGAGACATACCAATTAACTAAATGTGCCCATCTTCAGGGAAGCCCGGAAAACAGAGGAGTATCTGAGCTGACATGGGGAGAACATGCAAACCCCACACAGACTGTCCTGTCCCTGACCAGAATCATTTTTATTTTCTATCAATGTTACAACAAAACAACACTGATAAAAAAAAAATAATGTCATTCAAGGACCTGCTGTACTACAGCTAGGACCTCATTTGAATTTGCCTTTATGATATAAAGTCTGCATATATGATATTAAGTCTGCACTCATCCACAGAAATGTCTAGGTCTTACATTAACCTAACAAATAATTTAAGTGTGCATGTAGTAGGAATCATCACCCCAACATCTTTCAATTTTAGTTTTCTCTCTTGGGGAAAGTGATAGTACCAGGGCCTTATTCTCCTGCAGAGTAACCACTAACCACATGTGGCTGTTAATGTTAAGCACCTAAATTTGGCTAGTGCCACATGTTGAAGTGGTATCTTTGATTAAATAAAAACATTATTAAGATTAATTTCACCTCTTTAAATGTAGCTATTGGAAAATCTTAAATTACATATGTGACTCATATTCCCATTATATAGCATTGGTTTTGGCACTTTATCATAGCCCTCTCTCCAGGGGTCAGAGTAGCAATGTAAAGATCTTTCCATTACAAAATGTATATAATCCCATGATACTACAAGAGGGACTTGAGTAAAGTCCTCATACATATCTTCACC